ACCCCGAATCAGGGTTTCACTTCCGCATCTACCAACTGGCCTTGATACGTATTTATAAATGATCAAACATTATGCTTTTGTTTGTTTCCTGGACAGCAAGTACAACTGTGGATTTGTCTGTCCAAAATTCTATACCACAGTTCTTTGCGTGTGCAATACTTTGATTTGCATTATTCCCCTCCCAAATATGTAGCATTAAAGTTGCATTCCCCGTGCTCTTCAACCATTTTTGTTTTTTTTCCATTGATAACTTTTCAACTTGTATGTGTTATTCCAACCGAAAAAAACCTCTTTTTTCCCTTCTTTGGACGTCTGTAACACTCTGAAATAAAGGGTTTTTAATTTTGTACACAAACAGATCCACTTTGTGAGCAGACTGGTTCCCGGTCCGTACATTATCGATTATTAAATTATTGTCTGGTAGCCAATAATTTGCTTTTGTAAAGTAACAAATCAATTCCTAAACATGGGCTGAATGTTTCGGTCGATGTCTCATTCAAAAGGGAATAACAAGAAAAATAGCAATTTCGAAAAAGGATCTCTTTATTTTCGGGATGAAACTCAAAAATAACATGGGGAATGCAAAAGTTTGTTTGAATGGTTGCTTTCAACGAGCTTTGATTCGATGTCATTCAACAGATGATTGAAGCGCACAAGGCCAAGTTGACAGAGACCAATAACTCCAACAGCAAAGTCGAGGCTGTGGTATGAGACCTGACCAATTTGTTGAGACCCTACGACACTGAAACATCCAAAGACGCTACACTGAGACTTACCCCGCCAGTCTGTCACCCTCACCCTCTAACACACGCAGTGACATTGGATCAAGAAGGGAACCAGACGGATTGGAAACTGAAATATGGGCGTCAACTGCAGTTCATTTGTACTCTCCGATAAAATTTATTTGTCGAAAGGTGTTTACTAATAAGAAATAATTACTGATACACATTCAACATGGTAATGATTTGTCCTTCAACACTTGTATTTGTTTTAATTCGGTCGAAACTTAGTCAGAATTATGATCTCGTCTCCTTGTGGGTTTTTTTTTTCAGTGAGAATTACAACGACTACAATTATTTTGTTACCTCCATTGAAGAATTGAAAAAAACCTTTGTTCACTACCTTCAGTTGTTGTTCAGTAAGGTATATATATTTGGCCAAACATGTTTTTAAGGAATATAATTAATGACTTTTCTATTAAAAACGAATTGGGAAAGAGCCGTCACTTGTTCTGTGCATGAGGGATATGAAATTAAAATTTGTCCATAATATGGGAAAATGGAGTACTATTGTTGTTTTTTTGGGGGTTGAATGAGTATTAGAAATTCAGCTTTTACAGATGTCCGTATGGATCCAAAGGAAAAGCCAGTGGTTGAATTTCTCCAAACTTCTACGCAGTAGTATTTTTCTGATGTGTGCTGCAAAAGTGAATTAATATTGAAAATTATTTATTGAATCATCATCATTTTCATCATTTATGTGGAATCATTAAATTGAATTCAGAGCCTCCACTTTCTGTACTATATTTCTTGCCAAATCTGTTTTGGAAAAAAAAATCAGGAAAATCCAAAACTCTAGTATTCTTGTACTCCCTTGATTCAAAGACCGCCACAAATATTGTCCTGAATTTTAAAGGTCAATTTGTCATATTTCTTCTCATTTTTGGAACTGTGATTCAAAGCAAAGTTGAAGAGAAATTGTATTCGTTAGTAATTGTATTCAAATACCTTGAGAATATTTTTTATTCATATCATTGTGTGCTAATTTTTTTCAAGAGAAAAAAAAATTCTAGATTAAGTATTTGAATAAAATAAACCAAATTTTATGTCCAGTACTGTTCTTAAAAATTTCACGTTTTAATTCTGAAGAATTTAACTAGAAGTGTTGTATGTCTCCGCTTACTTTGTTCATTGGGAGAGATCCATGAAGGAGTCCTTTGCTGAGAAAATTTGCATTTTTGGAAAGTAGAAAAAAGTATGTTTTCCTCAAATATCATCACAGAAGTTGAATTCGGACTGACAAACACGCACGTTGTAAATATGTACAGTCAAGTAATGAGATACAGTTAACAGAGACCATAACCTTGACTAAAAAAAAATTTAAAAAAATAAATAAATAAATAAAAATGTGTAAATAGACAAGACAAGAACGCTAACATGTCTAGGTATTTGAAATCCCAGTAAACCAAACGTTACGTACTGTGTGTATTCTGTGTTTCATAGGTACATAGGGATAATCCGACGTTTTAAAAGGTTATATATAATGAATCATTTTTGATGCAGTGTACATATATTTGTTTATGATAAAGATACATTCGTAGGATCTTTTTTCAAAGAAATTCTGTATACATGGTGCATTGTATCGCCCCATCTTCCGAATCCCCCCCCCCCCCAGGAAATTTAAAGAATTTTTTTTGATAGCAAATGTGTTCACTGTTTATTTGAAATCCGAATGCATTATTGTTTTTTGTTTGATACCGGTAGACTTATGCATTGTAAATAACGTTGGGGTGTATTTTTTTTTTCTCCAAATCTTAGCTAAAAGTCACTACCAAAAGAGTTTTGTCGTCAAAGTATTGTGGGGAATAATGGAACTCGCCTCTGTTTCCCTCTTCATTTTTCCTAAAGTAAAAGAGCCATTTTAGTCGCCTCATGTGTTTTTGCGAAGGGGGAAAAAAATGCATACCCAATGCATGATAGAGTTTGAACAGGCACTATTGACAAAGTGTTCATAGTGAAGTCATTGGCCGTATTCATGGTTTACTTGTCATGCTTGTACATACTGTTCATAGTTCGTTTTGCATACAGGGCTCACTACGGTTCCGTTTAGTAGAATTTTATTTATTACCGATGTTATTTTGTAATATTTTTGGTATTTTGGAGAGTGTCAAGCCCTTGAAAAAGATAAAAGAAGACCTAGTTTCGTACTAGTTTCATACTTTTTTATTTAGTAGTCGGGGGTACAGTGTTGCATTTTAAGTTAGATTTAAGAGGGAATTTGGGTATTAGTCAAAGTAATTCATTATATTAAGTCATGTCAGTATAAATAATAATATCAAATGTGAAATTTAAACTTAAAAAAAAAAATGAATGATAGAACTTTATATTTAGGATGTGTGGTGTAGAGTTTTATAATTAGGTGAGAAGAACGCAAAACTGTCTGCAATATCCAAGCTAGAATGTACAAATTCTCATCGGTGTTTTTTTCCTGATTCGTCCTTAAACGAAAAAAAAATTATAACTTTTATTATGAAAGATATTCTTCTCTCTGTATATACAGGTGGTTGTATTATTGTTCAAAATAGCTACACAAATATAATTTATTGTTTAGGATGGACGCCAATTTATGAAATACCTAGTTGGTTATTTTTTTTTTTGCATGGAATGCTGAAGAAATGTTATACATTATGTAAAGTTTATTTTTTATGTTTTAAGAATTGTTAATGGTCGTGTAATTTGGGGGTTGCGAATGGGTTAGGGTCTGTGTCCTAATTTAGTTGGCAGAGTGCAGTTTTGTTGTTGGTCATATCCGGAAGACAATGCCTCATTTTCGTACTCAAATTAATGTGATGCCATACCTCCATCGCATTATTGCCACGCCCCTTTTGCTTTGTCTTTGATATGTTGTTGCCACGCCCCTCCTAATATTGTTTGCTCCCTGTGTTGTGGTTGCACAATTACCAGACCATCCCCCTACCTAGGGCCAGCCCGAGTGTTTGATGTTGTATCAAGCTACCGTTACAAATCCCATTCTGTGTGCTATGGCCACACCCCTTCAAATGCCACACCTAAAAGTGTGTCCATATCTCACTCCTGCAGATGCCACGCCCTCTTGATATTGCCACGCCCCTACTTGTACCCCACCTTACATGTATTCCTGCCCTACGTATGTGCCACACCCATTGTGCCACGCCCCTAGTTGCCCACCTTAATAACGACATACCTCAAGGCCACCATTGCCACAACTACCTTTTTCAATTATTCCTGTCTTTGTGTTTGTGCCAGTGTCTACATTTCTTCGTTGCAGCATTTAAGTGTACGATGATATAATCCCGGAATATTTTCCTGGAAAATAAAGTTTGGTATAATTTTTTTTTCAAATACTGAAATTTGAGACAAATCAAAGGACACGATCTGGTAATCTAATTTTGAAAAGCTGTATTCCTGTAAATGTAAAATCAAATTAAAAACCTTGTTTTTCATGTGTTCCAAAAACAGGAGGTAAATACTAGCTGTTTTGGGTAGGCCCCTCTATTTTGAGTTCAAACTGTTCCGGTCATTATCAGGCATGCAACTGGGAAGTCATAAACAAGAGGAAATTCAAATCTTTCCAAGACTTTGTACAGTTTTTTTGCTATTTTCAGTGGCACACATGGGAAGTAAAAAAAAAGAGGAAATCAGCTGATCCGAGGAAAAGTTGCATGCCTGTCATTATACAGGTTAAGATCACTATTAGAATGTGGCATAGAAACAATGGCAGATCGGTACAATACCACTGACAACATCTGTTGAATTATAATTGCTTATATCAAATAGGTCTGACCAAAAAGCTATTTTGTGTGGCCCTTTGTTTTTCAGATTATGCCTAGGCATAACCCCTACCCTCCGTGATGCTTCAAAATCCACCAGGATTTTTAAAGAATTCAGGAAGGCAGAGAGCTCAGTCACTCTTATTTTACAGAAAGACTTGATTGCACTCTGGTGGAGTTTGGAGGATCCTGGAGGGTTCCTAGCAATGCTTGGCGAGTGAACGCTTCTTCATTCTTGTCACCATTGACTGATTTACCTGTGAATGTTAAATATGAAGTCATCAAAACTGTTTGGTGATGTGTCTTTCATTAAATTAAGATAAAATTAGTTTGTATGTGGTTATAGCAGTCCCTTTCTGAAGTTTGCATTCATTTCAGGATTTGTGTATGCAAATTTTGCGAAATTTTGCTTTTTTTTTCCAACGTACTACAAAATTTATTTAAATGAAGACAATTGCATTTATTTGGGAGGTTAATTTACAGGGTTTTAATTTTAATGAGAATTGATTGTCAATTTTTTTAGGCTTACTTGAATGTAGTTCAAATAGAACAATGTTTTAGTTATATAAAAATACAGTGAATAATACTGATTAATGTTTAGCTACATAAATGATTTGCAGTACGTTTTCTATTGAATAATATCCTCATAGCTAGTTTGCAGAAACATACCTTAGTCTCATGCATAACAGGATACGTAATGTTACAAACATTTGTCTTTTATTTTACTGCATGACATGTAAGAATGTTGGCAACAATCGAAGGGTATTGTTAGGTGCTGCAGGCCAGTGTAAGTGTAGCCTACATGAACTGTCGTTGACAAGGAAGAAAAGGAAGTTTAGTTTAAAAAAAAAACACGAAATTTTTCAACACCAATAATTTGGTTGCCCAAAAACGCAAATGGTAGCATATATTGCTTGTTTCCTTCACTGACAAATCTGATATTGATATCATTTTTAGGCATTAAGAAGACAAAATGAAAGATGTGGATGGAAATACCGAGGACAGTTTTGACTTTTTTTTGGTCATCTCTTTATGGAGAGACCATAGCTGCTTGTCTTTTTCAAATGTGATCTTTTTTATTTATAAAGCAATCTCGAAATTTTGTAATGTGAAATTACAATTTCACGTTTTGTGTTGTCAGAGTAATTAACCACCATACCCCTTGTGTTCTGTAATTGTTAAGTTTCTCTGTGCTTCCTTAATGGCGTTCGAATGCAAGCAGTACTCTGTGATGTTTCCCAATTTAAAGTTTTTTTTCTTTAATTGCGAGGGTTGCAAATCTGGCTTTTGGAAATCGAAAAGAGTTATAAATTATGGTTTCTGTTAAATTGTGAAAGTTTTAACAACCGTTTGATCGCTACCTAAATCCTGAGTCAAGCAAGCAAACACATTATTGAAATTTAGTATTTGAATCTTTGCTGTCACGTTGACGTCAATCCTCTTTTCGTCTTGGTTTTTTGCCTCAAGGTATTAAAGCTTATTTACAATTGCAGTTATTTCTTAGCATTTTCTGGAATTAGACGTAGATTTGCTCGTCTGCTCTTCCCTCCAAATTTTCATTTTGCATTTTAGAAAAAAAATGTAAAACAAAAACTTCTGAAGCAATAGCATTTAGTTTCTTCCGTCTACTCAAATTTTAAAAAAGGAATATAAAAAAAAATGATTAAAAGTCTTAAAACAGAGCTGATAAAAGGTTTTAATAGTTATGTCAGAAATAGACATCCCTAAAAATGTTAAATTTGGGATGGCGGGATGCCACTGAGATAGTAAATTCCCACCCTGCAGTCGGTTAGGTCTGTATGTATAGATTGTGAATATTTCTCGGCAGATAAAGTACTGTATAGCGAGTGCACTGCCCTCTCTGGATGTATTTGTGCTTTTTTGAGAGTCATCAGCTGATTATAATGAGTGTTAACACCAAACACACGTGACGAGGCGTGTGGGGAGTACTATTGGGTTAAAGTCTATTAAAATAAAGTGCACATTTTGACCAACTGAACCATTAGTGCGTGCAGTGTCATGATTGTTGGTTTTTGTTCTCGATTGTCTGTGACTTTTTAAACGATTTTGAAAGAATCATGCAATGATAAACTGTCATGCAAAAATAAATGTTTTGTAAATGAGACCTGTTGACATACGAGAACCACCACATTGTACAAATCCTGCATTAAACTCTGAGTGAATTCTGCATTCACTATTCACAAAGCTGGCCAACATCAACTGCATAATGTGACCTCTATCCAGCACAAAACGAGTCACTTGGACAAATTTTTGAAAGTGGTATGTGGGGCTCATTAGGACTTCGAGTAAGCTTTCCAATGATGGGAATTGGTCAAAAGCTGATGGAGTTATAGGTACAGTTCCCAATTTTTGGGCCTTTGAAAGTTGAAAAACAAAAATGTTGTTAAAGTTTCCCTATTACATTCCGTAGGAAGTTCACAAATTAACTCCATTGAAGAAAACAAATGTTCATTATTCCATTCTAGCTTCTAACGTCTTAACCTGAATTTCGATAATTTTTGCCTGCACAGTGCAATATAGGCTGTATTTCAAAATATGGCCGTGTGAATTACGACTGGTTTTGTGCTCAAGGAACTCATATTGGCCTTAGCAAATAAGTATGCTGATGTAATGAAAAAATACACCCTCAAAAAAGGCATGTGAACACAACAGTTCTACACCTCTGTACCAAGAAACGCATAATGCTAACGTTTTTCTAAGTTTCAGGAGATCTAATGTCAAATAGTGGAGTTCATTTATTACTGGACAGCTCTTAACATTTGTTTTGCAAAAGTTTACACCATATGGTATTTATTTCTAATGGGGCTTTATCCTATCAAATTCTATGTTAACACATTGAAGACGTTTATTTTAATCAGTCAGCCAGCCCACACATCTTGTAGCGTGCTGATTGCTGATTGGTTGGCAAGTGTTATATCAATTTCTATGTGCAATATGTAAAAATAGATTGACCAATCATCTTCTTGCTATGATTAACCTTCATGCACAAGCATATCCTGCTTGCTGACTGCTGATTGCATATTGGATGGCACGAGTATGTGGGCCATAATTAATAAGTACTTTGGACCAATCAGCTCTGTCCTATGATTGGCACTCAAATTGCTGATTGGATAGCTGGAGGTATATTAATGGTCTATATGTTTTATTTGCTTTGGACCAATCAGCTACTCACTGATTAAAACCTTTGAATGCCAGCACATCTTGCAGTGTGCTGACTGCTGATTGGATAGCTCGGGGAATACAAGCCATATGTTTAATAAGTACTTTGGACCTATCAGCTCCTTGCTGTGATTACCCATCGAATGCCAGCACATCCTGTAGTGTGCTGACTGCTGATTGGATGGCATGAGTTGTGACTGCCATTTGTTGCTTGACAATATCCCAGCGCGCATCTTGATCTAGTGCTTCGTCGATTCGATACATGGCGTCGACGATGCCCGGGAAGGCATCAGCAGCATAGTAGTTCTTACTGCTTGGCGCGAACACGATGTGTCTGCAAATGGAAACAATAACAGCAAATGAAGATAGAAGTATTACCATCTCTGGAATCTTAGGGCCGTGATGGCTGATTCTTGTTAAACTCAAGATTTTTAAATTACTGATTTGTAAACTCAACAGAAATACACATACTTAATCCAATTTAAATCGAAAACTTGGGATAACACCAAAACAGTTTATCAGTTCCACACCTGAAAATTTAACCTTTTTTTTGAATTTTAAAGTTGGTGTATCCATGCTATCTGAAATTGAATTTTTAAACCAAGTGTTATTTTTTAACAATAGCAGATGTTATAGGATTCAAAGTTTAAATTAGGATCATGTATCCGCTCCTACTTTCTTTCGTAAATTTTGATATCATAAACGATGCTTCGTCCCGCCCATTTTGCAGGGTAAACAGCTTGGCCATTTCTCGCCCGCTTTGCGGGCGATCAATTGTGAACAAACACACACCCACCCACCTTTTCATCTATATAATACAGGGTGAGTCAAAAAAAGCGAGACCCAAATGTCGGGACTATTGTTTTAGTGAAGTTGTGCATGTAGCACTGTATGTAGTTCTGTATGTAGCACTTTCAAAATCTAGCATATGAAAGTCCAAATCATAAGCTTTCTTTTAGTATAAAAATCATTAAAATCACTCATGTGCTTTTCAAGTTACGGAATTTTAAACACAACCACCATCTTAAAGTTCTGTGCACGGATCACAAAAAAAGGTGCACGTTCTTTCAGCAAAACGAAAACAATTCACATACATCCCTATGTGATTTGTTGCTGTTTTGCTGTAAGAACACTTACCTTCTTGTGATCCGTGGACAGAACTTTAAAAAAGTGGTTGTGTTTAAAATTCCGTAACTTGAAAAGCACATAAGTGACTTGAATGATTCTTGTACTAAAAGAAAGCTTATGAATTGAACTTTCATATCCTAGATTTTGAAAGTGCTACAAGCAGAACTTTACTAAAACAATAGTCCTAACATTTGGGTTTCATTTTTTTTTTTACTCACCCTGTATATAATATAGCAGTGTTCTTGCTTAGCACTGAGGACCAACATCTGCCTGAATGCTTTGAAACAGTGTTAACCCTGAATCACTGGGCACTTTTATCCTGAATCCTCAAAAATCTTTCAATGTGTGCTAAACCAAGGACAGATTCGTGTAAATTTGAAAAGATGCCAAACTTGATTTTGGTTCTTGGAGTATTAAGATATTTTGATTTAATATTCTTGCTAGATCTTACCTAAGAAATTTGCGATCTGGTAGTCCAAGAGGATCAATGAATGCTCGTTCAAGTTGCATCAATTGATCGTTGACTCGACGCAAAGCCATCAAACTAGAAAATAATCAGCAAAAAAATAATAAACATCAGTCGTCATACTAGACATTGTTGCAAATCCACTTTGGTGACTTAGAGCAATTTAAGAAGACGAAGTGGGCAATTTCATGTGCCAATTAATTTCCTTCCCATAATACTCTGAGGCCATTTTGTAAAATAATGGCTATATTGAAAATGCTTTCAATTCAGTTATCTTGACTTGAAAGTATTCATTCTTGGAGTGGACATTTTCTCCACATGCATGGTGCAAGCTGGCACGTTAATTTAGTATACAGATATTGAGTGGCTCAGAGTGGAATGTGAGGATAATCGCAAGGTAAAATCTGGACTCTTCCAGTTCAAAAGGCGAAGCCGAGCGAACTGGAAAAGTCCAGATTTTACCATGCGATAATATTCCACCCATTTTACATTTTAAAGCCACTTAATATTTGTTTTATATAAGTGGCATATAGATCCTTGTCATTTGATATATATGAACTTTTATTTCAATACAAAATTGGTGAAAAATGTATTTCTCTCTTCCAAACCAACCTTCACGAAAGTGTTTGAACCCAACTCTGTAGCACTGGCTCTTTGGAACAATACGCGCTACGCGCAACGCGCATACCAGCATGCATTTGCACACAAATACCACGTCATGGAACAAGGATGATCCTAACTGTTGAATAGTAAATCCCTTTCCCCATTGGTGAATGGGACTTTTTGAGCCCCGGTGTGAATGGGAGCAATAATGAATGTCACGTGATGTGAGTTCCACCAATCAAACGACAAGGATCTGTATGTCAGTCATATAATAAGTTTTATCTGTTAATGTCTTACTCTTTCATATCGGTCTGTGAGATGACTTTCTCAAATTCAGTGGCAGCTGCTGAAAAGTTCGCCAGAGCAGAGTAGATGTAATCTGTGACAGAAATCATACAATTATTACATAATATCATGGAGGAAGGAAGTGTTCGTAAGATTCGAACATTTCTTAAAACCTTGTACAAGATTTCAGGATACTCAAATGAGGTTAATGATTATCAGGTGTCTTTTTGGGGGGCTTACACACCTATATGTTCCGACACCCCTATGTTCCGACTGCTAATATTGCTATCCCTAACCCTTATCCTAACCCCCCCCCCCCCCCCCCCCCCCCCCCCCCCCCCCCCCCCCGTTTTCCCGCAACACTTTATCTACAAATAGATTAATTATGTTTATTTTCTTCGCTGTTAAGATTAATAACAACTTGAAGATAGAGAGCAAATCATTGGAATTATGTGGACACATTTTGGGCCAATGAAGCATTATAAACATTGGTACTTTGGTAGACAAAACATGCCAAACATGCACAAATACACCATTTTGCGGTTCGATGCGGTTCGATACATTTCTCATTCATAATAACTGACCACTGACTGTCCCCCAAAATATCCTTCCCCCCCCCCCCAAAAAAAGAATCTGGCGGCTTATATGCGGGTTGTCAGACATAGGAGTGTCAGAACATAGGGTGTCGGAACATAAAGCAGTCACCTTTTTTTTTTATCCAGAAATACTGATACAATCTTTGGGACACTGTCACAACTCAATAATTTACGAGTCATCGTTACAGTCCGGTTTCAAGTCACAAGCTGTTCAAATCAACTGTGGCCAGGGCATTCCTTTGTTATTGTTGATCCCCAGTTATTTGTGACCGGACTTGTGATGGGTTTGTGATGGACTTAACTTTCACACCACTTAGTACTCTGCGATAGGATGATTATTATAAGATTTGAGGCTTTGCATGGTGGGGTATCGGTATCGTTTCGGTTTGCGGTAACACCATGTGGTAATAACTACTGCTTAGAAGATATTAGTTCTGAGAAGAACTTGTCCTGCTTATTATCAACTTTGCTAAGTAGTTTTTGTTCTGTTAAGAACAGTCCTGCTGTAAGTTCTATACGAACTTGTCTTTGGTTTCATCGTTTCGACTAGCCTGCTCTAGTCATCGTCAGGAGATGATTATTACCAGTAAATTTCCCCCTCACCAAAAGTGATTCCCTGCGCAGCCATCTGTGCCTCGTATGCAGTCCTCACCGTATCCATGGACCCTGTGATCTTGGTCACGTAGTCGGTGCAGTCAAAGGGAAGTATGACGGACTCGGCCAGATCTCGGGCCACCTCTGCCCAGAGTCTGGCCACGGCCTGGTGACGGAGGAAATCATAGTCCAAGAACGTCTTCATGTAGTAGAAGGTCTCGTAGACCGAGTGGTAAACGGGATAGCTGGATATTCCCAGAGACTGTTAGTAATGAGACAAGAAAATATGTTAAACTTTGCTGTAAAGAGTAAACCCCAACAAAGTTTTGTCTGAAATCTCAAGTGTTTTTGAGACAAAATGTCTGAGTTGTAAGCCTTCACAAGTCATCACGAGTCACTCAATATTCATTCATGCACCTATTCCCAGTCAATTAAATGGTTAGCTATTTAAAGGGGATGTATACATGCGTTTTGGTCAGTTGTGGCACCTTGAAAAATAGATTTTCAAATTGAATTGAGAATTTTCTAGCATTACATTAGTTATGAGCTTTCCATGCATGATCAAAATGAGATTTCATGAAATAAAATCGGCCCATGACAATTAAGTAATCCATTAATGAATTTCAACTTTTGAATTAAGAGCGAGACAATAATTCGTTCTGAATAGTGTGCGCAATTTCTGAACTAGACAGCGCCATTTAAAACCAAATTTTAAAACCGTATAACCTGCCAAAACAAACTAGCACATTTGTTATAGGACATGATCGTTTAAATATCGTTCGGAAAAGACAATTGAAATTTTAAATCAACATGCAATACCAACTTCAAATAATCTCTACCAAAACAATCCTTAGTCATTGTTACTATAGTCATTGTCTCGTGTTACTTGTGACTGACTTGTGCTTGACTTGTGACAGACTTTCGATTGACTTGTGGCCGATTCGATCACAATTTTTGAAATTGGCAAAGCAAAAATTAACAGTTTGGAAATTGTAACAATTGTGCAAATTATCAGAGATTTTGCCTCAAACAAAGAGATTTCAGACATTATTGTGTTAACTGCGCTTGAGCAATCCAAGCCATTTATGCACACACACTCTGTGGATGGATGGAGAAAACAAAAACTACTGTCCCAGGAGACTAGTTAGACATGCACATGCAAGCCAGTCCGAGGCAGGGGTGTTAGCTGCAGGCTGGGGTGCTGGTGGATTGGTACACTGGATATTGGCAAGGGTTAGCCCACTGATCTCTATATAAAGACTGGATAGCGGATATGCATACAACATTCACACAGTAGACTTTGCATATTGACCAATTCGCCCCCGGTCTTACGAAGATGGCTGCGTATAATACGAACGTTCTAAGCGTAAATACGTGCGCGTTGTATCAACAGTTGACGCGCATTTTGGTCACGTACACATATTATGATGTTCTAAAAGGGACACATTTCCATAGTGATTATTATTTCAAAACGCCGAAAAAGTGATATTTGCGACATTTTAGTAACCACGACGTTAGAAAAATTGTAGTTAACCTTGGTCAGTGGTAGTGGTCAAAATATAAGTCAAGTGAACCGCGACGTTACAAAAGAAATCATGCTGGCTATAAAAACGGCAACTTGTCCTTTGTAGATCACCAGCCGGTCTCACCAATATGGCGTCAAATTCGTTCATTGTGCGGCTCTATATTAGCTATCCAGTCTTTATATAGAGATCAGTGGGTTAGCCCCACTAGTGGCCGCGATATTGCTGCGCTGTATCTCTGGCCACACGCCAGGTGCTCCAGTACTACTGAGGAGTTTATTCCAAACACTGGCGCTCCCTTTTTTTGAACTTTTTTTTTTTTTTCACATATCAGTGTATATGGTTGCATTCTATGATTTCTCATCTTTTGCCCTCCGGGTAGATTAGGTAATCTTTCTTCAAATTTTTCGAGAAATTTAGCATCTTCCTGGAGTTCATATGCGCCAGTGTTTGGACTAAACTCCTCAGTAAGTTGGGAAACCAGACGTGTGGCCTAATGTACAGCGCAGCAATACTGAGGCCACACAAGTGGGGCTAGGCAAGGGTTGGCCAATATGGAGGGACACAGCAACATATACATGTGTCCAAAAGTTGAACTTACGTGGTATTTATAATAAAAAGTCATACTCATAGCTGGCACCCCAATTCTGTACATGAAGGGAGCAAAATCGCTCCCCGAACCCATATTCTTGATTCTGCGAGAGGGAAAAATGATGAAGTACAAAAAAAATTAACTTTCTAAATGTTAGGTTGATTGTAACTTGCTTGGTGATTGGTTGGACTTACAGGATCATATCTGTAACGGAGATCAACTGCCGATACTCCGATACGATACATGAATGGGGCAAAATCGCTCCCCGCACCAAGATTACTGACTCTGTCAAATAAAAATCGTACAATGGTCAACGATGTCAAAGTGTAATATGACATTCATAAATACCTAAGACAGTTTACCCATTCCCATTGGTCGAGAGCCCGACACGTGGCCGGTCTTAAAAGACATGGCCGGCTCATGGGCGTCGCGAGGGGGGGGGGGGGCGCTCCAAAAAAAGGAAGAAGAAAAAAAAAAGGCGCGAAGTCATAGTGGTGTAAATCTAATGAGTTGGGGGGGGGGGGCAAAATGTCCCTGCTCCCTCTAAAACTGATAAATCGAGAATTTGTTGAGAAATACAAGATTTTTTTGGGAAAAATATGTTTTGCCCCCTCTAGAAAAAATCCTGGAGACGCCCATGGGCCGGCTGGTCTTAAACACTTTTCCAGTGTCACATGAAATTTGGACACCCATGAAATCCAGTGCCTTTTACCGTTTTATTGGTTGAACATTCACAATCCTCACGTAGGCATGCCCAATACAGTAAATCAGTGTCTCATAGTCTGACATTCAGACTACACTGGCCCAGCTGCATTTTGCGCGACATCACACAGTACGCGCGACGCTCGCACCAATCTCCTTATAAGGTAAGGAGTTGTACAGGTACATTCCATATTATAGTCAGAGTGGTGTATCATAAAACATGAGGTAAAATTGTTGACCAAATTGGTTGAACAAAATGGTTCGCAACGTCTGGTTTTTGACTTGATTTTAATTTTTGGACCGAAATGATATGTTTTTTGTCCGAAAAGGTATTTATGAATGATAATTAACATGTGCTTGGTCGGTATTAAACACTATGTTTAAGACTGATTTGAGTCTGGAATGCTTGGGTAATTATCAGCATTTCAGACTCCAACCAGTCTTAAACACAGTGTTTAACACCTCCCAAGCACACATTTATTCACTTATTTTAAACCAAATATTGTAAAAAAAAGCTCGCCCTTCATTTGCTCTTTATTAAGCACATTTCTGATTTTCTTTTAAGGAAGGGGATTAAGTGTTTTGGAGGAGTTAAAATACCTTTTGTTTTCAACACTGAACACTTTTTTCTCATTACCTTGGCAGTGTATTGGGATCATTAGCATCTGCAGGCAAACGATCTCGCCATGTATCATACAACGATGTTGATAGGTCTTCTGGATCAGGCACCTGACCAACACATGAAACAAATACAAGATTACATTTTGCACCAATCTTGAATTTAAAGGGAAAATACAACATTTGCAAACATCAAAAAATAAAACTACCAAATCATTTTGAAATACCTTGCTGGACTGTTAGTGAATGACAGTGTAAAGCATCCTGTAAAATCATGGCACCTGGTATATTGTCATTTTCAAGAAAAGTAGTATTTTATCAATTTCCAACGCTGGTCGGCTGATCAGCGTTGGAAAAAACTGGCTTTTTTTCATATACTGGCCCCAATTGACCATCGCACTTGTTTGCAATCGATTACACACCTATGAACGGGTACAAGCCAGCTAGACTGGTTCCCTGACCTTACAATTCCCCAATGTATGTAAACTGCTCTGTTTCTTCTGATATGGAGTCAGGGAACCAGACTACAGGAAAATGATTGTTTTCTTGGTTTTTATAGCATTTTCGAACCCAAAACCTCAAAAAAGTCAGTGTAACTATATTTGCTATATATTTCCAACCCCCCAATTCCATCCATTTCTGAAAATTACAGCAAAAGCAAATGATGTATATTCCCTTTAAGTTTTGTGTCTCTGTTAAATTGCATGTCTCGAGTGAGTCACAAATGGCTATAAACTACCGCCTACTTTTAGGAATGACCAATTGGGTGACTCGTTACAAATTCAGATATATCGGACCAACAATTCACAATTCCCCTCCACCTGTAACTTCTGTAATCACCCCAAGGCACAACAAAATGATTCAAACAAGACCCTCCAAGGAAATCACACCGAACTCATACCTTTTTTTGTTTAAAATGTCTATCCCTCCTCCTATGTTCTCTTCTTTTGTTTGTTCCTTCACATCCCTTTGTTTTTCCTTCCACCCATGCATGGTTGTGTGCCCCTTACTTGTCTGTTTGCATTTGTCATGTTTGCCTTTGACAAACATTCCGCTGGGATCGATACATTAGGCCTATACATTGTCTAATTTCGTTTAATTAAAAAAAAAATCTTATTTGGGAGGGTCCTTTGTTCTTTAATAAGCATGTTTTAAGAAGTAGGCCACACCTCCTGCCAGTGGCGAATCTAGTGGGGGTCTGGGGGTGTTAAACTCCCCCTCAACGTCCCCCAAACAGCAGCAAATGTTTTACTTGTAAACTGGGGCAAATATAATAAATGGGATGGTAAAGTTCCTGAATTAATTCTCAAATTGCCTTAGAATAAAGGAGAAAGCATCAAATTTCAAATTTTTCCGGAGGGTATGCCCCGCTGCCCCCAGGCACGCCTACACACTCCCGCAACCCCCCCCCCCCCTGTCATTCTTCCCCCCCCTACCCCTCTCCCCGTTTCCTGAAGGCTAGATCTGCCACTGGGCCCGTCCCTTCCTTACTATTTCCCAATGAATAGTGGAACAAAAAGAAAAAACTGTGGAATTGCTGACCTTCTTCGATGCTGCATAGATTGCCTGGTAGAGCAATGGCGTTGATTTGACACTCAATGAGTAGTTACCAGTCACAGCAGAGTCTACATTGATGTATGCCACAGCCCTGGCGGCAAGTACCCTCTGAAATTCCTGTGGAAAAAAACCCAAAAGCTTTTACATAATTTCTTTGTAATGTTTATACTTGTCAGCATTTATTTTTATTTATTATTTATTAGATAATTTCACAGGTAAAATACATGACAATTAATATATTAAATATATGACAGCATTTAGGGCGGTTGCTCATGATTAGTACATGCGTTTTCATCGGTTGCTAGATGTTAACATTCAGGACTCCAGACTCATTTTCAGTTTTATGAAAACTTCACAAGTTCCTGGATGTCCGCTCAGCTATTAGAGAAATAAGCTCTATAGATTTTAGTTATCATGAGTTAAATATTACTATCCGGAACGAACTTTCTATCAATTGATCATGCAAGGACTGAATAATCCGCATATAAAGACTAAATTGAATTAACAGTTTCGGCGGGCATTTAAAAAGTTCCGAAAAGTCTGGGGTCTGCCTCAATAACTGTTGATAAAGTCGGTCAAGTCAAAGATTTCACTGAAACCCAATGCAATTCATATCTTAAGTACAGCAAAAATCTGAACAGAAGTGAAAGTACAGTCTTAAATATTGATTTTTTGTTGTAAAATATAGCCATTTTCCTTTTTGTCACTCTCTGAATATTTGCTTACCTCCACGAACTCTGTAGATCCTAGCAGACCATACTCTTCAGCTCCCCAGCTCCCAAATACGATGGACCGTCTTGGTTTCCAACCTTAACACAAAAGTTACAAAATCAAATGTCTGATGTACGTACAATGATATTTTCTTGTTCTGTTTCGAATCTGTTTTTTTTTTCATCTTAATTCGGGGTGGAAGTATCAGGTATTTCAGCAGATTTGTACCGTGAGTGCAGAAAAACATGCAAAACTACTTCAGGCCAACTTTACTCACTCTTTAGCCAACACAATTCTCCAAAATCATTTGGCAAAGACAAGGTCCTCAGTATTTCACCAGCCAAGTTTGAGGTCTCAATTCAATTTTTTAAAGGAGACTTTTCTTTAATATTTTGCACCTGGAAGTGAAGCCAAGTGATATCAATTTAAAGCCATAGACTCGACTGGTACATGTCCAACTTTTTGAAAATATTGACTCTTCAGTGATCTGGTGGCAGACTATGGAGAGATATGTAGAAATACACCGGTACCAGATGTTTCTTTTGACACAGTTGACTGCAATACTATAGGGGTGTCGGACTGGTTGTTTCATGGGCAAGAACTAGTCTATTTTCTTGTGTTGCATGTTTTCAATAACTTAAGTTTTGGGACTCTCATACACAGTATTTTTATTTTTATTTATGTTATTTGCGGTCATACACGTACAGGGTGGCCTTATCAGTTAAACAGCTGTTCGGACTATAGTATTTTAGTACTGTAATAAAATAAAAATAAGGAAGCCAGGCAGACTGTTTCTGTTTGTTTTTATGGGAGGATACCGTATGTATAGGCCTACTTGTCCACCATAAATACTGATGCCTAATTTTATTACCTGCTCTGAAACATGTCCATGCCATTAAAAAAAAAAGAACAGCCTTCGACCCCACTTAATCTGAAACCGGCCTTATAGCCTGCACAACCACTTCCCAATTTGCAAACATGTATTGAAGTCCACCACAAGCCAATCACAAGCCAACGACAAGCTAAAACACAAGTTAGATGGCCAATGACAAAGGAACACCTTTACCACCAGGGCCATTCCCCGATCCCAGACTTGGGGCAAGTGCGGAGCGTAAATCCCTTATGGCGTGGGGTCCGGGACTGCTTTATTGAGATCCCCGGAAAATTGTGCATTCGTCGAGATGCTCTGTGATGCAATCTGAGGCATTTCCTGGCCATTTACACGGAATTTTCGAGCAAAAGTTCTTCAGGGCCAATTGTAAACACAATACCATGGGGGTAATTAAATTAGAATTTGTTGGCGGCGATTTTTTTCGTTTTTACCCCCCTCCGCCCTTTTTTTTTTTTTTTTTAGATTTCTGAGCAGAACTCGTCAGCAAGGGGGGGGGGGGGTGTTCGAACTCCAAACCTCCCCCCTAGATTACGGGCCTGACCACAGTCAATTCGAACAGGTCACCGGTTTGGTCCACGACTTGAGGCTTGTGACTGACTCGTAACAATCCAACCTGGGCCAATCAGTCACCAAAAATTTGGATTGCCGCATCGTGCCTTAGTGGAGAGTGAAGCCACGCCCCGAAAATTGTCATCATCATACACTCACCTGATTTCCTGAGCTCTCCAAACACACGCGATACCTCCATAAAGGCTGCCGTCCCGCTACTTGGATCAACGGCTCCATAGACCCATGCATCACGGTGATTACCAATCACCACATACCGATCTGTAATCAATCATGGATACATAACATTTCCTACAGCTTGAGACATTCAATCGCTTTCAAATTTTCCACAACACCAGCGCTAAGATCCGATATCAAGCTGCCATTTTCAGAAAATTATAATATATATATTCTAGATACTAAATAATCACAAATGTGAGAGCTTGATAAGTATAACTATCCTATTGAAGCCACCCCCCCCCCATTGTATCGTAGGCTTCAATAGGAACAATTGTTTTCAAAAACAATTGATACAGTTCCAATCCAGATATAGGGCCTACTATTCTGCGACCACAGATTCTTAGGATAAGTTTGTTTACCAAAATCAGAAATTCGATGCTTTCTTATCAACCTGATCACAGGTTCCTTACTTGTTGAGATCTGATAGAGCTGCCAATTAAGAATTTCCATTTTAGAACATTTGAAGAAAAAAAACATTCAAAAAAGGTATTTAAGATTGTGTTTTTCAGAGTATTAAGCAGTTATAACACAGAAGTGATATCCTGTTTTGTGAAGGATTGTTCTCATTTACTTGTTACAACGAGAGATTTCGCCACATGTTGTTTTCATATATTTTTTTTTTTTTTGGGGGGGCGGTGCGTTTCGCATTGCAATTTGCGCTACGCAATACTGCTTTATGTTTAATTGCATGGAGGTAATATGGTAATTGTTTGCTACCTGGTTCGATTTCACCTCGAATGAAACCAATGACATCATAAGTCGTCCTTGTCTCTCTGGTGGTATGGATTGTCATTTTTACGTTCCTGGTAGAGATGTACAAAAAAAATCAATCTTTTATTTCGTGTGGTGTCATGATACCAGTACCGTATATTACATGATTGTTCTTGGTTTCAACTTTTCCCAAACAAACTCAACCAGAGTAAGACCAACTGTCCGAGTTAAAGGCGGTTCATACCTATGAGATCAAAAGTGACAGCACGTTTTTCGCTGCGGATTTGCAAAAATTTCACACTTTTCAACTTTGGAATATTAGCAAACATTCCGTGCATGATGATGATGATGCCTAATAATAATTTGCTTCACATACGTGAATCGGCCTTATTTGAGTATAATAATATCGGAGTTTCCACGTCCAGCTCGACTAGTGGAACTCTCCACACTCTCCCCCCAAACACAAATACGGAGAACTTAAAGTACGACAGAGAAGAGCGATGGGTGTCTTCAAATTCAACTAGATACCACAAAACTAACCTGCTTGAGTCGTTAAAACCTGGGCCAAGGCGGTAGGTGACGGGCAGATGTCCCTTCCACTCATCAATGACCTCCTCGCCAGTCATGTTGCTGGATTGAGAATCACAAAAGAAATTATCTCACATTTTGGATTTTTTGGGGCCTGGGTTTGACAAGCATCAGTTTGGAATGGAAAACAGTGAACATATTTCAAAAAAACAAAAAAACAAAAACAACCCCGAAATTGTGTTGAAGATGGAAAAAATAAAGCCAGAAATTGCGGGTAGCAAGAAAAAGGATGATTTTAGCAACACGGCATATGGTATGTAACCATCTATACCAACCATATAAATGTAACAATAGTGTGAAAATAATGGGTCTAAAAGTAATTGAGTACCAGATAAGGTTTTTTTAATTGAAACTTGAGGGGGAATCGAATGTTATTAAACGGACAGAGAGAGAAACTTTAATTAAGCTATGGTCAAGTGATCATTTTGTTTGTCCTAGTGCTTGTCTCCCGACTGTCTGTCTTCTAAATTAAGGACGTTTAGTTTGCATGTGTATTTTACCCGAGTAACAGCTGTGCATCACCGTAGCCGATTGGATGGACGGGTATCTTTGGTAGAGCCGTATCGTAATCGTCTATACGGAAGGCAAATGCTGCAAAGGGTGTAAAAAAAAATGTTAAAATTTGCTATGAAAATAACGAGTGGTGAAATCTAAACACTTTAAATCCTTTTCATCCCAATCAAGCACCAAATTATTATTCCTGAACGTGGACATCGAAAAAACGAAGTATACAGATAGGCCCGCTTCCCTTTTGTTATATATGTAGGATACATTACGGTATCTATATACATTATTCAAGAGTTTTAGAACAAAGAAAATAGCAGTCAAGTCTATCACAAGTCCATCACAAGTCCTGTCATACAGTCGTCATAAGTAACAGTTGATGAAAAATAACAAAGGAGTGCTTGTATCACAGTTCATTAGAAGAGCTGGTGACTTGTGATTGACTTGTAATGGTCTGCTTTTACATGACAAGAAGAGCAGTCAAATACATGTATGAATTTGTTATGAATGTGAACAAAGAAAGTGAAAGAAGCAAGACTCCAACCCCACCAGCGCTCTACCAACTGAGCTATCCGGTGTGGTTAAGAGGAGGCGCAGGTTCAAACCCCGCCCAATTAGGATGAATTTCAACAGGTAAGAAATGTCAGTCCCTTACGGTTGCAGACCAGTAAATCGGTCCGAAATTGCCTACGCCGGCCAAATCACGATTTGCATGCCCTCAAAATCTTCAGTGTTTGAGCAAGCCGTGGGCCATAGTAAAAAAAAAAATATGGGTGGAAGCCGTGCACAGGACTATGAACTTGTAGTTCTGTTCAATTTGGATGAAATTGGGGCCCTTAAAGCGGTCTAATTTGCAATAGAGTGTAGGCATCGTTTTTCAAAATGGCGCTGGGCTTCAGGACTATTTTCAGGGGTGATCATCTTCAAATGGAAATTTCTCCTAAAAGTCATCAGCTGACCCCCCCCCCCCCCCAAGTTGAAAAGAAAATGAAAGATGATGTAATAAGCTTTAATTTGATGTGTGTCTCGAACACCTTGAAGAGTTGTGAGTATTTTCCCCGAATTTCTGAAGTGGGAGCATTTACCATTGGGGTCTATAGAAGTTTATTTACTGGTCTGTAACCTTACGTTTAGCAGGGTAACCGGGCGTGACCGGGTCACCCTTGGCGTCACTGACGAAGGTATTGCCCCTCTGCGCTCCGGTCTCGGGCAGCCACCACCCATCTGGGTACACCTTGATGTCACCGTCATCGATGGCGTAGTCTGCCGGGTCCGAGTACAGGATCAGGCCCTTGGCACCGGCCGCCTGGGCATTCAGTGCCTGTAGGTTGGTATGAGGGGGGAGGGTGGGGTTCATTTCAGAGCAAATGAGGTGGCAAAAGGTTTCGAAGTTGAGCGGAAGGTATATATTGATTATAGCCTCAGAAGTTACCCAAGTACCTAACCGAGATTTTGGAGGAATATACACTTATATAAAAAAATTGACTTAAGTAGAAGACGTGTTCTAGAAAACAATCAAACTTGAACCTTGCTTACTAGAGTATTTTCTGGGTGTAAAATTGACTTTTTGGGGTACAATCTGACTTGACTGTTTCGTGGTCATATCAGCAACTGTGGGATTACAAAATTGAGGTGTGTACAGCGTGGTTTGCTGATATTCCCAACAGTAAGATGTGACAGTGAACAAAGTCGATCTTAAAATGTAAAAGATATATCAAAGAGCCATATGCAATCAGTCAGAATAATCTTTTCATTCGGTTGAGCAAGGCAGCAAATTAGAACGAAATTAAGCTCTATCTGTGGATATCACACCGCAGCATGGAGGTGCACTGATTTATGAGTCTGGGGTATACAACATGTATAACAGTGCGGGTAAAAAAAAACGAAACCCAAATGGCAGGACCAATTGTTGAATGAAGTTTTGCCTGTAGGATATGAAATCCCAGTCATTGAAAATGAGTTTTCTTTTAGTGCAAGAATCATTCAAATCACCGATGTACTTTTCAAGTTGTGGAATTTGAACACAAACAGCGTTTAAAATTTCTGTCCACGGATCAAAACAAAAGCAAGTGTTCTTTCAGCAAAATGAAAACAATTCTCATTTAGGGATGCATCGGTGAAGTTGTTTTCGTTCAGTTGCTGAAAGAACACTCCCGATACCTTTTTTTAGGTGATCCGTGGACAAAACATTGAAACGGTGTTTGTGTTCAAAATTCCGTAACTTGAAAAGTACATGAGTGATTTGAATGATTCTTGTACAGATCGAAATCTGTGAAGTAATTATTCGATGTCTAAAGTTGTAAGAATTTTCGACTGGATCACTCAGAAACATCAACTACAATGTACATGTACAACATTTTTCTTGTGAAACTTGAATATATTACGAGGAGAGCAGCTTTAGGGGGCAATACTTCAGTAACATCAAAATAATAATACTCTTTTTTCCTTATGGTCCATTTAAAGGAAGATTTCATCCGCAAATTATTTCATACAATGTGTTAAAGGGCTCATGCAATGTTACTTCCTTTAATGCAATCTTTGACAATGCACCTTTGCATCCCATTTAACCTTACTTTCAATTTCCGTTTTGCCATTTTCAAGGGTGTTTTGGTGCCTTTTTAATTTCCATTATTCATGAGCAAAAGTGTGATGTCATTTCAGGCAGAAAAACCTCAATGTTACAGCTATTTCACCACAAACGTTGCCAGAATCTAGAATATTTTCCCGTCCTAGATCTTCTTTTCTGTGGTCATTTGGTGTTGTGTCAGTGCATGGCGATAAGCCATTGAGCAAACGTTTTCACGGACGTTTTCAATAAGCAAATTTAATTTTTGGGTTTCGACAACTTGGACAGAAAACCCCTAAACTGAACAGTGTCTTCCTGAAATGACATCACAGCAACAACGCCCTCAGTTGTATGGAAAAGCAAGCACACTTTTAAATGTTTCAGAAGTACACTTTTCAATAAAACTACCAAAAAGGGATGTCAAATAGTTTTGGTAAACTTAAGTGGAGGAGAAACTTGCACAAAATATGTTCCCGTGAAGAATTCATTTCACGGATCTTTTAATGAAAAATTGAAAATGCAAACCGTGCCTCAATTTAGAGTGTATTTGTTTTTCTGATGAGAGGTATTCTAACTGGACTATGAATCTTTTATTAGGCCTAATGAATCATCACCTTATTCCCACGGAATATCTTTCCATAGCGTGCTATAATGATGGTTCCATTCAGCTTGATATCGCTGTGAGTTTTCTCCAGGTATTCAAAGTCTTCAACTCGAGCGTAATTCGCATACACCAGGTCGCCCTTATAAGAAAAGAAGATGGTATAGATTATACACAAAACTCTTACGTATATACATGCGAACCCCAAAAAAGAAAGAAGAGATGTTGTGCATCTAATACAAAAAACAAATTCACATAGGCCCACCCAATGAAACCGAGATTTCTCATCATTATTATCTCTATGTTTTAAAAACTTGTTTAAAAAGATGAAGTGATAATGTGAACCATAACAATCAATGTATGTCTCCTAATAAGCATCTGTACTGATGACGTCACACTTTGTTTACATGTGCACTTTCCTATGGAGCCAGTGGGGGCCCACGGTCCACTGAGCACCATAGGAAAGCACACACGTAAACAAAGTGTGACGTCATCAGTACAGAGGCTTATTGCCATAAAAGCCAACAGATGTGATTGTATCGATGGGATGGGATGGGATGGGGTTTGAGCTCAAGTGCATGGTAAAAGTGGATTGGCTAAAAAGTTATACCTCTGGCTCTCCCTGATAGGAATATGCATTAAATGGCGGCACCACATCAGGATGGTCATCTCCGGGTCTGAGCACCGCCTCCTCAAGCCGCGAGTGGAATATCTCATTGCCGTCTTCAAGAATGGATACCTGATGAAATCAACAGTGTCGTTGGAATAGAGTTTTATTTGATAGCTTCAGGGTTTAGTGTCAGTGCACTTCAACGAATTGTATTTTTGTTTTTCATTACGAAATTTGGGCTTGAGTATTTATTTCAACGGGGAAAAAATGCTTGTTCTAATTTTATTTTGGTAGCTTTTGCGCACCAAATCCACCATACAAGTACCATTGGTTCCCAAACTCTCCATTATACAGGGTGAGTAAAAAAAAACCGAAACCCAAATGTAGGGACCATTGTTTTAGTGAAGTTCTGCATGTAGCACTTTCAAAATCTAGGATATTAAAGTCCAATTCATAAGCTTTCTTTTAGTACACAAATTATTCAAATCACTTATGTACTTTTTAAGTTACGCAATTTTAAACACAACCACCGTTTTAAGGTTCTGTCCACGGATCGCAAAGAAGTTAAGTGTTCTTTCAGCAAAACGAAAACAAATCACATAGGGACGTGTGAATTGTTTTCGTTTTGCTGAAAGAACACAGACAGAACCTTAAAACGGTAGTTGTGTTTATAATTCCGTAACATGAAAAGTGCATGAGTGATTTGAATGATTCTTGTACTAAAAGAAAGCTTATGAAATGGGCCTTCACATCCTAGATTTTGAAAGTGCTACATGCAGAACTTTAATAAAACACTAGTCCCGACATTTGGGTTTCTTCTTTTTTTTTTTACTCACCCTGTAGATAATAAAATGACGCGGAAACCAGTTCAATCTGCGGAAACTGAATTATTCTCGGTCGCAAATAATTCAAAATTTGAAAAGTATAATATTTCATAACTAAAAATGCAGGCCTGTTTTTTTCGGCAAGATGTTTCATACAAAAGTGAATGACTTGCGTACTGCTAAAATAGCAATTTAAAAACTGAATCTAAATTTTTCGTGGTAAAACTCGAAAACAGCACGTACCTTTATTACCTTAACATCTTTAATCCCCTCACTTCGTTCGTGAGGCTCTTTAAAAATCTCAAACCCAAGAATATGCCAAGACGTTCAATCTTGACATTTTCCCCACTGCGCCATGAGAAATTAACTTTTGACATTGACTTGGCAACCGAAAAGTACTTTACATGTATAGATCTAAATTCATTCTCGGGGTTAATTAGGGTCGCCTGGCTTGGTGCTTATATCGCATTTCGAATTGGATGAGACATGCATTTGTGATATTTGATCTGAAAGCCAAGATTATTTGAATTAAGCTCATATGCACATACTATGGCTAAAGGGTAAATCGTTTGGCCCGGGACATAATGATGGGTTTACCAAATACACAGTCTACTTTTACTAACCTATCGAGGACCCGCACTGTTCCCTTCTTTTGTCGTTGTTTGTGCTTGAACTTTTTGACACGTCTCGTTAGGCTTGTGTGCAAAACCTACGGACACCTTGGGCTCAGGTCGTCGGGGCCATTGTTTTCTCAGGTATAACTCTTTGTTCAGAGTCGTGAATGATAATATTTACACATATTAGGATATATCTACACAACTAGTGTCATATTTACACCGCATGTAAATATCTCTTGACATGTCTAGTTGTAGGTTTGTGTACACTACCGGGGCCATTGTTATCGTCGGTCGTCGGGGCCATTGTTATCGTCGGTCGTCGGGGCCATTGTTATCTCAGGTATAACTCTTTGTTCAAAGTCATAAATGATAACATTTACTCAGTTGGGATATATCCACACAACTAGTGGCATACATGGTTAACATCACCAATGAGTGGTTGAAATAACCAACAATTGTTTTACATGTGTCCAACCAATCGGTTGGTTGGACACATGTAGGGCTCGTTCAATGACGGCCATTTCTGTAGAAGTGCAATGCGTATTGCTCGAAATGTGTTCGAAATACGACGCAGCCGATGCGCGTTAACAAGTTGACACTCAAAAATGCCGATGCACGTGGATGGTCTTTAGGAAATGACGTCATTTGAACGAGACCTATTAACCAATTATTAGTTATTTCAACCAATGATTGTTTATGTTAACCAACGCACTGGTTGATGTCTGGCGCTTTATGTATTATCCTTTTACCTTGTTACGAATGGTATCATTGGGGTAGGACAGTAGGACGTCATAGGGAACCAGTTTGGCGGAGTCAAGCCCTTGCTCTATCCACTTGTCCCGTATGTACTCGGCGTTGGAGCGTTCGGCGGGAGATCCGGCGATATGTGGGACCTTAGTGAAGTACCTGCGTCGGTAATCACCAACACAATTATAAACATAATAATAAAAATACGTACTATAATAATTGCATCTTCCGTGGCGGGCGGGAGGCAAGGGGAAGCGAAAATTCTGCGGTCACCTTTTACAGTCACCCTCCCTGATCTTAACCGAAATTGTCTCTCTGAACATTTCTTAATGACAGAAATCAAGAGGGAGATCCAGGCCTACGTTTCGAATGAGTGCTTTGGCGAGTGTGGGCGGGAGGCGATTCCCCCCCCCCCCGTAGATGGGTTGTTCAAATGGTATGCCTAATTCAGTTTACCTTTGAATCGTTGCAAGACACTTAGGTTCTCGCTCTCTTTTTTCCCCTTAAAATAAAATTATATCAACGATAAATGCAGAGAAGAAAACAAGTGAAGAAAACAAGGAAAATGAGCAGTGACGACATGGATTCGAATCCGGGCTGTATCCATAGCTCATCTCGCTATCCACTTCTCTACTGTGGTAACTCGACGACGTTCGTACCTTAAAATGCTTTAAAGGTAAAATGCTTTAAAGTTCAAAGTTGTTGACTTCATAACAGTACTCTTGATATTTTTTGTGACATGAATGAACATACTGGCCCGATGACTTTGGAGCAACCAACCTACGGATAAGAAAGTCGCGGGCGTGGGGGGATTTCACCAAATTAGTACCAAATTAGACACCGACGAACACTCTTGAAGAACATGAACGCCTGTATATATGTAACCAAACATCCGTTTTGTCTTTTTAATTTTACAAATAACCTAATTCATAAACTCGTCGGCACTTTTTTGACCTTTCTGCCACAGTCTGAATATCATCTTTATTCTGGCCCCTGATCATCGTTTTAAAATGAACATTTGCTCCACAAAGCCACTGACGTATCCAAGTTTGGGTAGACTGGGGGAGCCGGATCTCCTCCCGGGTTTTCTCGGATAGCCCCCCCCCCCCATCACCGACTTTGAAAATAGACTGTTGTTGCATAGAGCAACGAGAGATTTAACGATATACATTTACTGAGAATGGCACAGCTTCAATAAGCCAATTGCGCTGTGCTTAACGAACCCCCTCCCCCTTCTGTTCGGATTTCTCCGCCCCGCCCCTCCCCTCCCCTCCCCTGCAGACTGTTTTTTACCTACCTTAGATTTTCCTCAATGTTGGCGGCGTTGATAGGGTCGATGACGTTCACGCCCGGCATGGGCGTTGATCCCACGTTTGAATCAGGTGTCGGTACGGCACACTCCGGTCCTTTTGGTGCCGTAAAATGCCCGATAATCACCCCGAGACCGATGCCAACCGCAGCCAGGAAGGCCGTGAGGCCCCAGAACATGGGCTTGGGCCATTTAGACTTTTTACCATAATACCCCTCCATCTCCATATCGGGAAAGAGTTGTCAGGTTTCTTTCGGTGATTCTAAAGACCCGTGCTGGGTATGTGATCACATTCAGCATAAGCAACTCAAGTGACCCTGTCCAATTTGCAGGGAACCTATATAATCAAATTACAACCTAGATTGCACAGTAGGAATAATCCTGTGAACTTTGATACTTTATGTCTTATCTCATAAACACTTCGCTTGAGTGTTTAAACACTTGACAGGCCAATATAATTCTGACTGGGTAAATAGTACTACATGTACCATATAGCAGGTAGCCAACTACAAAAGCGAGCTGTTGGTTGTTGGACAACCCAAGTTATAGTGGCGTAGGCCTATACTTTACCACTCGCTAGCCAAATAAGTTTTCCACAACGCCAGTATGCATTTATAAATCAGGTGTATCATGCGCTTACTCTTTAATTCTGTAATTCCTTACTATATGAGGGGGCATAGTGACGTATTTATTTGGGAGCGGGGTAAATTTAACTATTCAATGCATAATCAATGTTAAAATAGAACACATAGTTAGACTTGTGCGGCATACTGCAAGATCAAGAGGCACATAAAACAACTATATTCCTTTCGGGCCCATAATATTGGAGAGGAGTAGGCCTAAAGGAAAATTCCCAACACAGGGTGAGTTAAAAAGAAAAAGTGACCGAATTTGAAAAAAATAATAATAATATTTTGAAGTATTTGGCTCGCTCCATTTCATAAAAAAAACAGGGATAAAGAACGTACTTTTAACTGTGAACATTTTACGTAATGTTCATACTCTATTCCCGACAAGGGCGGATCCAGAACACAATTTTTTTGGGGGGGGCTAAAAAAAATATGGTCCCCCCAAAAAAGTGGGTCAAAAAAATTACGGCGTGGGGTTCGGGGCCCGCTTAAGGGCCCCGAAAATTTTTTGGATTCTAGATGCTCTGTGGTGCGATCTGAGGCAATTTCTGACCACTTTAACCAATGTTTTTTTGAGGAAAAGATGGTGGTGTACTCATTGCCTGCCTTTATTGCGATGTCACATAAAAAAAAAAAATTGGTTTCGTTTTCTTTTTTTGGGGGGGGGGGGCATGGCCCCCTTTGGCCCCCCCCCCTGGATCCGCCATTGAATTTCACAAGTTAGTCTATTTCAATAGAAAAATCACAAAAGCTGTCCACCACTATTCTACGAGCTGATGAATATACCCATTGAGTGCAGTGAAACATCCATGGACGTTTTCTCACCCCGATAAAAGAACAAGTACTGGCAATGGAAAACATACAAAAATCGCCATCAATATTTCAGCAGAAAAAGAGTTGACTTGTGCCTCATATTCAAAACGCAAAATCTGACAATAAAAATAACATTTGAGCCTTGATTTTAATTATTAAAATCTCATTGTATTTGAATGCCTGTGTGTAATCTGTAATTCTTACTCAGCTCAGTAGCTTCCAGTGGCATTCCATGAAACAGCTATAAAAATGGTTTCTTTTCGTAAAACATGCATAATGCTGATGGCATGGATCATTTCAGTAATTCTTTTTTTTCCATACTCAAACCCTTCAAAACCCTGATCAACGAAGACATGCTTCAGAGCAGGGAACAGTCTTGTCCCCACTGTGTAGGAAGTAAACTTTTCATGTTATCAAATCCAATAATATGATTCGTAATTAATGTTCCTTAGCAGGACAGTTTGCCGCAACAATAATAGCCTAGATTTTGGTCTATGAGTAAATACAGCCCTTACTTACACACAGCAAATTCGTTTCAACAGGAGATTCGTGGTTGACAATCAATTCAATTCAATTCAATTCAATTTATTCTCATAATGTAAAACATGAAACTTTTCTCCTCGTTCTGCACATTCACATAAAAAAAAACTCATTAAGACCATAAAAACACACACATTGTACAATAGACATAACAATATGAAAAAAACTGACAAGAGTACAAACTAAGACAAGATAAGTTTGCGGTAGCACCATGTGAATGCGCGGCATTCAAAAAAGGCAGCCGTAACGGCCGATGGAACAAAAAAGGGCACAATAATTTTTTTTACAGGGCAATTTTTCGGGAAAAGTCGCACTTTTTTGGAAAAAAGGGCACTTGTTAAGAAAAAAAGGGGCACTTGTTAAGAAAAAAAGGACGCTCTTTACAAATATTGGGGGGGGGGGGGTAAGCGCTGGTGAAAAAAAGGGCATTTGAATGGAAAAGGACAGTCTTTTCAAAATATTGGGGGGGGGGGGGTAAATACCCCCCTTACCCCCCGCTGGCTACGCCTATGGGCTCTCTTCAGAACCAAACATACTCACAAAAGAGATTTATTCACATGGTGCTACCGCAAACTTATCTTGTCTTAGTATCTTTTTCAACCATGCAAACCTTCAAAGAGTACAAACCACAAATAAAACAAACAAATTTGGGCCTCGAATAAATAAATAAATAAATAAGTAAATAAATAAAACATCTGGATTGATGGAATTATACGTATAATGACAAAAAGCCTGTGGCACATAAATGGGAGGGGATCAATGGCAAGCCGATATATGCGGGGAGAAAGGGAACAGGGAAAGAATTAGAACTTACATGTACGAGGGGTATCCAACCATCAACCATACACCCTGGACTTAAAAGACACGTACCCTCCCCACCCAAAGGTTCGTTACTCATGTTGGAGTTCATGGTCACTGTGCTGTTACAGCTACGTAATTCTTGGGTTCTTCAACATCAATGTTGTTCAGTCGTTCAGCTCTGTGTCTTGAACGGAAGAAGACTTTCACAAAGGCTCGTCTGTAATGGCTGCTCGTCACGTTGTAGATGATCGGATTGACCGCCGAATTCAAAAGCACAAACACGTGACTGACGGTGAGGGCGAGCACCAACTTCCGGTGCGTGACGTCATGCGGGACCCCGGCTAGATTCTCCACGAGGAAGCCTAGGCATAAGGCGATGAAGGGCGCCTGGCAGAGAAAGAACACGGCACATTTGATAATCAGCATTCGGGCTACTTGGTTACGGATATGACGAGCTTGCTGGGTGCGGACTGATGACGAGCGCGTGACTGGGTTCTGCTCACGCTTGCGTTTTACTCTGGTATTGAGATTGATGATGATCAGGCTGTACATGATTGCATTAGTAATCATCGCGATGATGAGGACGATGGATTCTAAGACATGACCGACAATCAGTCCCCAGCGACTGACGGCCACACAGTATCCCAACTGGACCGGTAGGTCGTGGTAAGGTTCCTCATCCGGCCAGATCGCGCAGAATCTAAAGAGATTCGCGTATCGCACCGTAACTACACCAGCCAGGCCAAAGGCCACCAGCCAGCTACCGACTGCCAACTTGAAGCTCTGCTTCATCCTCGTGCCGCCCTGCTGTCCGTGGTTGAGGAACGGCTTACAGATGGCGTTGTATTGCTCGTGAGTGACCAGGCTCACCATGGAGATGGAGGCGAAATAGGTGACGTACTGGGGGAAGAAGGCGCCTACACAGCCCATGGTGGAGGCAGTGGGTAGGTGACTGCGGACGGGCTTCGTAAGATAGAAGCTGTACTGCACTATGCTGCTGATCAGGAACATGAGGTCGGCCACGGCCAGGCTAGACAGGTAGACATTGGTGGTGGTCCGCATGTACGGCACACGAGCCACTACGAAGAGAAAGGCAAGATTGCCCGGGATGCCGACGGCTAGGATGGTGAAAAGAACGGTCAGCATTGTCGTGCTGGTGCTATCGTCAAGGAGGTATATTCTCGCATCCTCCCGCGAAGTCAGGTTCCATGATGGCAAGCTGCTACACTCGCTAGTCATATTCACCCGCACGTCCTCTTCCATCTTGCTTAGTCTCCAATACAAATGCAATTAATGACTGCAGGAGTGGACTAAATACAGCATATTATAAGAGGAATCCGTCTTTTATGGCGGGATACAGAGAAACGTATGTCATAAAGCCAGCTACTAGGCAGGAATTATTATACCAGCACAACGAGCCCGAAGTGTTTATTGGCGCCGCACCATTTGATCATTCAGTGCTGTCAAACCACGCACGCGCATGGTCATTACCACAAACCAACCTGTACTTGTCATTGACATAGGCCTAATTCTTCTTCCCGCCGGTTTGTCAACCGATTTTCTGCTGGTATGTTCAAACAACGGATGAGTTTCGTCGCAATGTGATTGTGTATTGAACTAAATTAAATTGTGAATATTGGTTGTCTTCCTATGCATAGTTGGGAAAGTCTACCTTATAAAATAACACTTTCATGAAAGAAAGGAGAATGCTTGATTTGTTTGTTTTAGTATTAACTATAGCCTACTTCATCAGAAGTTCCACCTGTATTGCTGACAAGCACGGCTTCTTAACACTTATTTCAGAGTTTTAGGGAGAAGTCCTATTTTAGAGTCAACGACAGTCGTTTTTGCGATCTCCCGATAAAAATATGTCATAATCTTTCATATCTTTAATCACATGTTTTTCATAGTTCCATTAGCGATTTCGAAGCATGGCGGACATATAGAAGGCATATAGGAGGATGCTACTTACTCTTTAGTATTTACTTAAATTTACCCTCATATCGTCCTCCGCAATATTGGCGTCACTCGCCATACTTCAAAAATTATAAGGCATATAGTAAATCATGTTAGGACAAAGCGTTCTTTCTTCATGAATTCATTAATTTGCATATAGTCGCAGTTATTGTAGTGGACTTATTAGTGGTAGTTGATGCTCCATGTGACAGTTTTCCACAGTGAAAATGGCATGCAAATTTAACAATTACACGTAATCCCGAAATAGAGATGTCTCTGTTTCAAAAAGCGGTGTCTCTATTTCTAGTAGCTACATTTTTAATAGAGATATCTCTATTTCGGGATTAAATGGTAATTCCGAAAGAGATATCTCTATTTCGGGATTAATATTTAATCCCGATATATTTCCCTATTAGAAATAGGGATATCTCTATTTCAAATAGAACTATATATTTTTAAAAAAGAGATATATCTCCATATCTAACAGAGATACCTCTATTGGAAATCTTAAATATATATTTCTAATTTGGAATGTAATGTCACTTGGCACGTCTGGGAATAGATATACCTTTCTAAGAAATACAGATATCTCTCTTTTGGGATTAAATGTTAAGTTTGCACTCCATATTTGTAACCCGACTCAAAACTCAATACGCCACAGGTTGGATAAAAAAAACCCTGAAACCGACATATTATTGCTAACTGGAAGAGAAGTACGGCACATGTGAATCAAAGGGAGATATCCTCTGTTGGCGTTGAATCTCCTCTTTAAAATGACACCCTGATCATGTCATTACATTCACGGTTGACTGAGCAGTGACAAACTTTATGAAAGGGTCTATTTAGAAAATTGCGTCACTTTTCAATTGTGGGTTTTGTTGTGTCATTTGTCACAGAGTGAAAGGCTATGGTTGCCAATCAAGGCAGGTGGGGAAATAAGAGATTTCACCATGAAAAGTGGCGCAATCATGAGTTTTGGAACAACTTGTGTTAATTTCTGACGAAAATCTTTAAGCTTCATTAAAACAGAGGCACTTTTTCTGCATATGCCCTTTTGCTGGGAACATTTTGGTGGTTACGCGCTATTGCATAAGAGCATACGCGCATATGCCCTTCTGCCGGGCACACTGATTATGGTAGTGAATTCGTCCCGGGAAAGATCACAAAATCCGTTTTCAAGGAAAGTCACTCTATTTAGTTGTACTGTTTCCTCTCACGCATGAAAACCAAGCTTCTTTTTTTCCCTCAGGTAAGCAAATAAAGCCCGCTTATAAATCCTATATAGTGCATGACCTGTTTCTTCGTCAGTTTCTGTCGTTTGGTTGTAAGCCACGGCGCCATGAGAAAATGTGTGAAAATATAAAAGGAAGCATGTTTAATATACCAAACGTGGCATATCTTTATGCAGACTGTAAAATATATTACACTTGTTATACACAGGGTAATTAGCCTATTTCTCTCGTAAGTACCACTTCAGAGTCGAAAATGTAAGCACTATATTTACAAGACATTGTAGACCAGCTTCGATTGAGTCCATCGAATCTTGATTAGAAGGGTGTCAAAACAATAACAACCTTCATCAATCAATCGCCCTTTCTCGATTTTCCTAATTGAGGAACTGCGTCAGGCTTTTAGCCGTTTTTTCCCCTCGATATTAACTTACTATGTTAATCAGATGACAGTGGCCTCCATACCCAGAAACATTTTTCCTCGTGATTAGAAATTATGGTACACGTTCAACGAGTGTGTACATGTCGCACTGCACGGGTTATTACAGCCACCGGATACCCTGTTGTGATTTTATGGAGCTCCTTTAAGTACTGGGATATTAAAGGCATCATTTGCTTTTCATGCATTTTTTTTCTTTCAAATACTAACACCATTCAAAATGCAAAGAAGAATGTTAAAACCTAACCTGTTAAAGTTCATTGGATATAAAACTTACAAGTTTTCGAGTGTCGGTGTCAAGGGCGCAGTTTAGGGATTACGGAACACCGGTTCCTACAGGGCCTACGAAACACTTCATCCGGGCCTGACGCATCTGAAGCTTGACTTACCTGGCAGCTAGAAAGCTGAGAGATCTCATCAGTAGGTGTGTTATTCTGCAATCTAGTAGGCAAAGACAAAACAATTAATAATTTTGATACTGTTCTGAATACTGGATAATAAGGCGTTTTTCTTCTGCATTACCTTCACGTGGAAATGCAGTAAAATACAATCTGTAATTACTTCAGGTCAGGTGAATTTGGAATTTTGAAGGTACGGTAAATAGGCGAGTCCATGATTGCAGTTATTTACAAAACGAAATTAATTCTCAACCAAGCTAATCTGTTAGGCATTGAAACAAGCATGCACATATACACATAAACTTAAAAATTCATCATTAAACTTTTAGACAAGTTGTTAAATTTGCTATGACTCTATAACCAGCAAACATGTCCCTGTGCAATTTATAGCTGGAACTTCGTTATGCATAAATGAAAGCCAAACAACACGACTTACCAGGCAGCTAGAAATCTGAGAGATCTCATCAGTAGGTGGATTATTCTGCAATTTAGTAGGCAATGACACAAACAAATATTTTTGGATTTTTTACCTTTATTATTAAAGAACTCGGTCAGATTGATATCAGAACATGCCAACCCTTTATTTTGTGATTGTACTTCATATTTTATCCTGTGATTCAGTTATGTGTAACCTATTTTGGTCCTTTGAAGTTGAAATACTGTAGCTCAAATTAAAGTTTACTATGCATTTTTTCTTCAAAACCCAAAGGTCAAACTTACTTGCACTGTCGCTGTCCCTGAAACACCCTTCAAACAAAACCAAATAAAACAAAATGAAAGAATCACAACTAGTTTTATGCAATTCATTACTTAAAAGGCAATTTCCATGCACCATATTAGTACTCTGTGAGAAATATTTTAAGTGTCACAAGAAACCGTATAAGTAGAGCCAGATAACTATCTGTTTTGTACAAAATGTTTAACATTTGTTTCTTTTTTTTCTATTCATTATAAAAACAGGGCCAGATTGTTTGTTTATTTGTTTATTTACGTAAAAATATTTTACATAGTTTACTCAATTTAAAACATCAGAGATACATTGTATATTAACGTTGTTGTCCCACCATACCTTATGGAGGACGGTTGCCAGCAAGCTACATGCTCATATCTTGTCCCGTGTGTCCTGCGCGGCCATGTAGTAGGCATGTTGGGTTGCAGGCTGGTGTGCCAATGAGCTCGGCCACTTGATCAGCATCTTTTTGTTCTAGTTCTCCAACAACCTCCAACACCACAATTTGGGTTTATTTTCTAAGGGACAAAGGCTTGAACAATTATACATTTTGTATGTGTATTGCAGCTAGGAACAGAGATCAATTACAACCTATTCCATGATGGACGCGGAAAGACAAGCCAGCATGAAAACGCCAGACAAGCTCTGCAGGATGGAGAATCCTTTCCCCTGCAACAATGTACTATTTTGCAATCACAAACTTAACAAATGCAATAGGCTTCTTAGGATTACCAAGAACAATACACAAACCAAATTTGAAGTTCATACGTACAGTATTTCTCAAGTTATCGCGCTGACAAGATTTATCCGGACACACACACCCACACACGCTTATAAAAAATTATAGGCATAGAAGTCTCGTGTACTAAAATTTGCAACGTCGCACACTTATGTCAAAATGCTCTTATTTAAACCATAGTAAATTTCCTGGACTGAAATTTGGACTTAATATCCCTTTCCTAAAACTCTTCCATTTCCGACAAACAAACCCACCTTGGAAATTCCTAACTTTTGAGTAAAATCCATACATCTATTTCGTGAAAAACTTGTGGAGTACCAAAACGGTACCCCGCAAGCCGATGGGCATTCCTTGTGGAGTACCTCCTGATGTTTAGGTACCCAACAAGGCAGTGGTTGTAAACAAACAAACACACACACACAACCACCCAGCCACGGAAGGACAAGGCGGAAACAGCATGCCCCTTCGGTTTTGCCGCGGGGCATCAAAATCAAAGTTGACCAAAATTGCTCAAAAGTTCACACGAGGTGCCTAGAGGCTAGAATTGAATTCGCTGAAGAGTTCAACTTACTACATTCAGTATCCAGCGAGAAAAGAAAACATTTTGATTTTATACAAAATGCCCCCAAAACTTTAACATTTTCCATAGCCGCCATCATCAAAAAAGTCAGTTTTTCACCCAAAAATCCAACTTTCCAAAATTTGCTCAAAAGTTCACACGAGGTGCCTAGAGGCCAGAATTGAATTCCCTGAAGAGTTCAACTCATAATATTCAGTATCCAGCGAGAAAAGAAAACTTTTTGATTTTTTACAAAATGCCCCCAAAACTTCAACGTTTTCCATAGACGGCATCATCGAAAAAGTCAGTTTTCACCCAAAAATCAAAGCTGACCAAAATTGCTCAAAAGTTCACACGAGGTGCCTAGAGGCCAGAATTGAGTTCCCTGAAGAGTTCAACTCATTACATTCAGTATCCAGTGAGAAAAGAAAACTTTTAGATTTTAAAAAAATGCCCAAAACCTTCAACTTTTTCCATAGCCGGCATCATCGAAAAAGTCACTTTTTCACCCAAAAATACAACTTTCCAAAATTTGCTCAAAAGATCACACGAGGTGCCTAGAGGACAGAATTAAATTCGCTGAAGAGTTCAACTCATTACATTCAGTATCCAGTGAGAAAAGAAAATTTTTGTTTTTTACAAAATGCCCCCAAAACTTCAACGTTTTCCATAGCCGGCATCATCGAAAAAGTCAGTTTTTCACCAAAAAAATCCAACTTCACCAAATTTGCTCAAAAGTTCACACGAGGTGCCTAGAGGCCAGAATTTAATTACCTGAAGAGTTCAATTCATTACATTCAGTATACAGTGAGAAAAGAAAACTCTTTGATTTTTTACAAAATGCGCCTAAAACTTCAACGTTTTCCATAGCTGGCATCATCGAAAAAGTCAGTTTTCACACAAAAATCCAACTTCACCAATCTGCTCAAAAGTTCAAACGAGGTGCCTAGAGGCCAGAATTGAATTCCCTGAAGAGTTCAATTAATTACATTCAGTATCCAGTGAGAAAAGAAAACTGTTTGATTTTTTACAAAATGCCCCCAAAACTTCAACGTTTTCCATAGCCGGCATCATCGAAATAGTCAGTTTTTCACAAAAAAATCCAACTTCACCAAATTTGCTCAAAAGTTCACACGAGGTGCCTAGAGGCCAGAATTGAATTCCCGGAAGAGTTCAACTCATTACATTCAGTATCCAGTGAGAAAAGAAACTTTTAGATTTTTTACAAATGCCCCAAAATCTTCAACGTTTTCCATAGCCGGCATCATCGAAAAAGTAAGTTTTTCACCCAAAAATCCAAATTCACCATTTTTGCTCAAAATTTCATACAAGGTGCCTAGGGGCCAGAATTAAATTTCCTGAAGAGTTCAACTCATTACATTTAGTATTCAGTGAGAAAAGAAAACTTTTGATATTTTACAAATGCCCCTAAAGCTTTCCATAGCCAGCATCATCGAAAAAGTCAGTTTTTCACCCAAAAATCCAGCTTCACGAAATTAAGTCAAATGTTCACACAAGGTGGGAACAGGCCAGATATGAATCCCTCAGAGATGTCAGCGCACCTAAGTCAGGATAAAGAGAGAAAATAAACATTTCAGTTTTCGGCCGAAATAGCCCAAATTTTGAAAAGTTTTCCATATCCGCGGTCATCAAAAATACTCATTTTTGGCCTGAAAATCCAACTTCACGAAATTAAGTCAAATGTTCACATAAGGTGGGAAGAGGCCAGATATGAATACCTGAGAGATTTTAGCTCACCTAAGTCAGGATCCAGAGAGAAAATAAACATTGCAGTTTTCGGCCGAAATAGCCCAAATCTTGAAAAGTTTTCCATATCCGCGGTTATCAAAAATACTCATTTTTGGCCGGAAAATCCAACTTCACGAAATTAAGTCAAATGCTCACACAAGGTGGGAAGAGGCCAGATATGAATCCCTGAGAGATTTTAGCTCACCTAAGTCAGGATCCAGAGAGAAAATAAACATTGCTGTTTTCGGCCGAAATAGCCCAAATCTTGAAAAGTTTTCCATATCCGCGGTCATCAAAAATACTCATTTTTGGCCTGAAAATCCAACTTCACAAAATTAAGTCAAATGTTCACACAAGATGGGAAGAGGCCAGATATGAATCCCTGAGAGATTTCAGCGCACCTAAGTCAGGATCCAGGGAGAAAATAAACATTTTAGTTTTCGGCCGAAATAGCCCAAATCTTGAAAAGTTTTCCATATCCGCGGTCATCAAAAATACTCATTTTGGCCTGAAAATCCAACTTCACGAAATTAAGTCAAGTGTTCACACAAGGTAGGAAGAGGCCAGATATGAATCCCTGAGAGATTTCAGCTCACTTAAGTCAGGATCCAGGGAGAAAATAAACATTTAAGTTTTCGGCCGAAATAGCCCAAGTCTTGAAAAGTTTTCCATATCCGCGGTCATCAAAAATACTCACTTTTGGCCTAAAAATCCAACTTCACGAAATTAAGTCAAATGTTCACACGAGGTCGGAAGAGGAAATAAACATTTAACTTTTCGGCCGAAATTGCCTCAACTTGAAAAGTTTTCCATATCCGCGGTCATCAAAAATACTCATTTTTGGCCTGAAAATCCAACTTCACGAAATTAAGTCAAGTGTTCACACAAGGTAGGAAGAGGCCAGATATGAATCCCTGAGAGATTTCAGCTCACTTAAGTCAGGATCCAGGGAGAAAATAAACATTTCAGTTTTCGGCCGAAATAACCCAAGTCTTGAAAAGTTTTCCATATCCGCAGTCATCAAAAATACTCACTTTTGGCCTAAAAATCCAACTTCACGAATTTAAGTCAAATGTTCACACGAGGTCGGAAGAGGACAGATATGAATCCCTGAGAGTTTTCAGCGCACCTAAGTCAGGATCCAGGGAGAAAATAAACATTTCAATTTTCAGCCGAAATTGCCCAAATCTTGAAAAGTTTTGCATATCCGCGGTCATCAAAAATACTCACTTTTTGGCCGGAAAATCCAACTTCACGAAATTAAGTCAAATGTTCACACAAGGTCGGAAGAGGCCAGATATGAATCCCTGAGAGATTTCAGCTCACTTAAGTCAGGATCCAGGGAGAAAATAAACATTTCAGTTTTCGGCCGAAAAAGCCTAATCTTCAAAAGTTTTCCATATCCGCGGTCATCTAAAATACTCATTTTTGGCCTGAAAATCCAACTTCACGAAATTAAGTCAAATGTTCACACAAGATGGGAAGAGGCCAGATATGAATCCCTGAGAGATTTCAGCGCACCTAAGTCAGGATCCAAGGAGAAAATAAACAGTTCAGTTTTCAGCCGAAATAGCCGAAATCTTGAAAAGTTTTCCATATCCGCGGTCATCAAAAATGCTCACTTTTGGCCTACAAATCCAACTGCACAATATTAAGTCAAATGTTCACACAAGAGGGGAAGAGGCCAGATATGAATCCCTGAGAGATTTCAGCGCGCCTTAGTCAGGATAAAGAGACAAAATAAACATTTCAGTTTTCGGCCGAAATAGCCCAAATCTTGAAAAGTTTTCCATATCCGCGGTCATCAAAAATACTCACTTTTGGCCGAAAAATCCAACTTAACGAAATTAAGTCAAATGTTCACACAAGATGGGAAGAGGCCACATATGAATCCCTGACAGATTTCAGCTCACCTAAGTCAGGATAAAGAGAGAAAATAAACAATTCAGTTTTCGGCCGAAATTGCCTAAACTTGAAAAGTTTTCCATATCCGCAGTCATAAAGAATACTCATTTTTGGCCTGAAAATCCAACTTCACGAAATTGTGTCAAATGTTTACACAAGATGGGAAGAGGCCAGATATGAATCCCTCAGAGATGTCAGCGCACCTAAGTCAGGATAAAGAGAGAAAATAAACATTTCAGTTTTCGGCCGAAATAGCCCAAATTTTGAAAAGTTTTCCATATCCGCGGTCATCAAAAATACTCATTTTTGGCCTGAAAATCCAACTTCACGAAATTAAGTCAAATGTTCACATAAGGTGGGAAGAGGCCAGATATGAATACCTGAGAGATTTTAGCTCACCTAAGTCAGGATCCAGAGAGAAAATAAACATTGCTGTTTTCGGCCGAAATAGCCCAAATCTTGAAAAGTTTTCCATATCCGCGGTCATCAAAATACTCATTTTTGGCCGGAAAATCCAACTTCACGAAATTAAGT